AGTCACGAAGAATGCGGTCAGCAAATTGCTTGGCCATTTTAAAGTGTCGCTGTATTATAATATCAGCTTTAAAAAATCACAGGAAACACCGACAGCTGAAGAGCGCATTCGGAGGATACGTTTAAAAATGACCAGGTCTTTTTTAAGTATGGCTGGAAAAATAATTGGAGAGCAGTAAAGAAAGGGGGAGAGTGCAGGCACCTATAAATCTCCAGCTGAGGGCTTGCGGTGTGTGATATGAACGCAAACGGCGCATATAAAATAAAAAATTACGAACTTTAATAAAAATGCCTTCGATGTGAAGAGTAAATGAGCGGTGAGCTATCAGCGTAACACCAAGGCACCAGAAAGGGGATATCTCATTGGGCAGAATGTCTATGGATTCAGGACTAATAGAGGGTCGCAACCGAAAAACACACTGAACTGACTTCCGGCCGTTTAGTAGAAGGCCATGCTGAGACGTGGTCCAGGCCATCTTTCAGTACTTTGAGATGTAGCTGGTTTTTGAAAGGATGACCAACAAACATATCATCAGTATATTTGAGAAAAAACATTAGTTTAGTGATCGTAGGTTGTTAGTGTGGTGGGAGAAGAGGTGAGAGGATAATATAGACCCTCGGAGAACTCCACAGTTGTTGGGAAGGACCGTTGATTTTCGCATACCGCACTGAACGAATTGACTGCGAGAAGTGAAATAGTCCCCAAGACAAGATACAGCCCAGCCGGGAGAGCCGCATGCAGAGGTTTTTTTCTAAGAAGAAGATGGCGCGAGATAGTATTAAAGGCTGATGAGTAGTCAAGAAAAGCACATGCGTATGCACGGCAGCCCTTATCTAAATATCTTAGAGCGGTATGAACTACTAGAGCAACAGCGTCTAGTGAACTACATCTAGTCTTTTATGCAAATTGCAGGGGATCGGAAAATTCGGAGGAAGACGCCGTAATTGTGCCCAAAGCACATCGTTCTGCAAATTTCAGTAGTGCAGAAGAGCAGGCAGTCATCTCTAAGGAGATCTCTGTGGCCACAGTCAAGGCGAGGCGCTGTCATGGCAGGCAACATGGCGGTCCACGCACGCGCTTTACTGTGATATGACTCATCGTGGGAGGATGGAGCCATTCCGAATAGTTTTATAAGTTTGTAAGGACATTTAAATATGCATGAAACATTTGTATTATATAAGCAGTCTTTTTTTCAAAAGGCTCAAAAAACGTTAATTCAAAGGAGACCGGCATGCTAGTGTGTCTGAAATATCTCGGGATTATGCTGCAAGATCGATAGTTCGACCGTCGTTGTCGACGCTGTCCACCACCAACTTCAGCAAGCTGAAAGCAGGCGTGGTGACTGCAGCTGAATTATAGTGAAAGTAGACTCGCAGAATCTATTCCTTTCTCTCACCACTCCCACACTTGTAGCCGATGTTAAGACAAAAGTCGAGAAGACCGGAGATGGGGGAGGGCGCAGATGGCTGATGCGGTTGAGGCCGCCCCCAAGCGTTCCACAACGCCCAGAACGGTCATTTTCGCAAGAAAGCATGGAGCGACTGGCCGGGTGGCCCTTGCAACTACACAGACGAGGACGTGAC